AAAGCAATTTTAGTGATTAAAGTTTATTTACATCTTTGTAATTAACAAAATATATTAAGAATAATTTAAAGTAGTCATATACAGATAAAAATTTATACATAAAAAAAAATTAAATTTAAGTTATACAAAAACAAATACATTAGAAAAATCAATAAAAATACTATATGTTGTACATTGAAATGTATATAATCATAACACAATGATTTAAACCTTACTTTTTAGTAAAATATGTCACCCACAGCAAGCTGTGGTAAAAATAAAAGAATTGTAAGCTATTTATATCATTTCAAAAGTCGGTGGTATGTTTATAACGGTAAAATATTGAAAATTAGAATATGTGAACATTTGTCTTTATCGATATAATGTGAATAGTTAGAAGAATTGGCTGAATTATATATTAAAAAGAATAGTAATCAGCATATTCTGCATACTTGAGATGTTTTTTGTTCGTGTAAAGTTTGTTGTCACTAGATTAGAGTTTCGTGTTCATGTTGAAAATTGCCTCAAAAACATGTTGAGGTCGAATAATTTTCCAAATTGTATCAACTAGAAAATTAATTGATAAACATTAACTACAACTGTGATTTACCAATAGAATTTAGATTAATTTACCACGTTTCGACCTGTAGTTTTAGNAAATTTAGATTAATTTACCACGTTTCGACCTGTAGTTTTAGGCACGTGCAGTGCTACGCTGGGAGCAACACTTATCAGCAGGTCTAAGAGTTTTTTACTGCCTTCTTCGTACTCCTTACACAAATTTTTCTCGAGACTGTAAACTTCGTTTTTCTTATACGAAGGGCTGCCCCATATGGGAGACGTCACTATGACCTGTGGCTTATATTTTTTTGATGTTTTACAATCGCGAAGAAATCTCCATGTATAAATGTAACTTTGTCCCTGACTCCATAAATCTCTGCGTTTCTTTTGGCGAATTCAAATTTTTTAGTATTGATATCCTTAGCGATCACTCACGTGTATCTCTTGGCCAATTAGATGACGTTTCCACCAGCACCACAAAACGAATCCATAGCGACGTCTAGACCTAGTTATCTTAACGCTATATGTGTGCTTAAGATCTCGGGACAAACGGAATAAAATGATTCTGAAAAAAATAAAATATTCAATAGTAAAATACTAAAGTTTTCTTAAGTAATTATTTTATTATAATTGTCCGTCATGATTCCTTCGTCGAATTTAGAGAAGAATTAGTAACTTTTATACCTTAAATGTTTTTTAGTATCATAAGGACGAATTCTAGTAGCAGATTTTTTGTTATTAGTATTTTCATGTCGTAAAGTTATATTTCTTTAGTATTTTCTACGGCTTCTGATGTTTTAATAATTTCTGTTAATTTTTTAGACGGTTTTCTATTAAAGTTGTTAGAATTATTTATTAAAGTGTTGTTTTCTTGAGTTGATGTGTTAATATTTCTTGGCAAATTTTAAATGGTTGAGGTGAAATTTTGCTTTTTTACTGTGATATGTTCGTGTTAATAGAATTATTGGCTAATACGGAAATGTCTGTATATTTATTGGCTGGCTATTTTTCAATTCCTATTTGTATAATAATTTTTGAGTTCAGTTTTTTAATCGATTCAATTTCGTTTTTCATTAATGAAATGTTCGCATAAGGTGTTATTTTTCGGTTTTAATAATCGTAGTTAACGCAAATTTATTTTCCCTGAGTGGTTCTACTACAAATAATTCATTTGTCAAAAAAGATATTTCCAAATTATTAGGATGTGTAGTCAAATCCATGCAAGTATTCATAATAGGTTCTACTGTTTTAGTAAGTTTTTTCTTCTTAGAAAATTTCATTTCCAATAATGTCTATAGCGACACTACTGCCAGTGCAATAAACATAATATCTCTGATTACTTGAATTGGAATTATGAAATATATGACCAACGTCGTTATCACGAAAAATAAATCCGAATCCATTTTTCTTTTTTTTTTTT